AAAAGCCTTTCTTGTTCGTCTTATCTATCATATGTTGCTGCCTCATTACTCTGCTATACATTTAAAAGAAATGTCTTAATTTATACAGTAGTCAACATTTGAAGTGGATCAAAAAATTCATCAAAGTTGTCTTAAGACAAGAACTGGTATTGTTTTGGTTTTAGGACATCTTTGATGAAAGGTTTTGATCCACTTCAAATGTTGACTAGTGTGTGTGTGCGTATATATATATATATATATATATATACACGCACACACACACTAGTCAACATTTGAAGTGGATCAAAACCTTTCATCAAAGTTGTCCTAAAACCCAAAACCATAATGTGTTCTTGTCTTAGGACAGCTCTGATGAACTTTTTTGATCCACTTCAAATGTTGACTACTATATATATTTGGTTTCTTGATATATTTATTTATCTAATTATAGATAAGACATTGTTGCTGAAATGTTCCATCAGGCTGAAACTGGATTTAGTGTGAAACATCAACACAGTGCTGACTGAAATGAACAATGCTCACAGGTTTATTACTAATGACCTCTTGAATGTTTATATTGCTTGTTCCCTCCAGCCGTCTGTTGACTGTAACCACCAGGTCTGGCTGCTCTGGAAGATTTTGTCCTTTTAAGCCTTTGGTCTCTTAATCACTAAGCTATTTTGGCAGCAGCTGTTCTGAGACCTGAATAAATTGAATACTTCCGTCTGGACTGGGCTTTGTGTCTCTCTATCTCTCATGTAACACCCCCATTTGCCCCCCCCCTCTCTCCCTCGAGCACTTGCTGTTGAGCATTAAGGAAACAGTTCTGACTTGTAGTCATGGGTGTCATTTGTTTTAAGTGTGCACCAGTGGCAGTCTTTGTTCGCTTGTGGCCTTGGCAAGATAAGATGTGGCCAAATAATGGTTTTAAAAATACGGTTTTAAGCAACTTTGTAATTAGTTTTGAGTGACATGAGCGTGAGTAGATTATCTACAATCAAAATCAAAGTATTTATATACTATATTTGTATAATATGGAAATAAATAAATTTGAGGGTGTACGTGCAGTTTGAATGATCACAGCACTTCAGCTTGTAACACAAGCTAGCTGACACAGTCATCAAACTCTAAAGTTTCGAATCTAAACATAGGTGCGCACAGTTTGTAATCCTGCTGGAAGTAGTGATACTGACATACCCTCCAGGCTTATAGTAGATTGCTTGATATACATGGATGAACAGTTGAATATGCAACATGATTAAAAATATCATCACTATGGAGATAATTAAAACAACGTCAAATGACACATGCACACACCCATTTACAGTGGGTACGGAAAGTATTCAGACCCCCTTCAATTTTTCACTCTTTGTTATATTGCAGCCATTTCCTAAAATCATTTAAGTTAATTTTTTTTCCTCATTAATGTACACACAGCACCCCATACTGACAGAAAAACACAGAATCGTTGACATTTTTGCAGATTTATGAATCTTAAGTGCAGCAGAAATTTTTTTGTAACCTTGGTCAGATCTGTGCCTTGCCACAATTCTGTCTCTGAGCTCTTCAGGCAGTTCCTTTGACCTCATGATTCTCATTTGCTCTGACATGCACTGTGAGCTGTAAGGTCTTATATAGACAGGTGTGTGGCTTTCCTAATCAAGTCCAATCAGTATAATCAAACACAGCTGGACTCAAATGAAGGTGTAGAACCATCTCAAGGATGATCAGAAGAAATGGACAGCACCTGAGTTAAATATATGAGTGTCAGAGCAAAGGGTCTGAATACTTAGGACCATGTGATATTTCAGTTTTTCTTTTTTAATAAATCTGCAAAAATGTCAACAATTCTGTGTTTTTCTGTCAATATGGGGTGCTGTGTGTACATTAATGAGGAAAAAAAATTAACTTAAATGATTTTAGCAAATGGCTGCAATATAACAGAGTGAAAAATTGAAGTTGAAAATTGAATTACTTTCCGTACCCACTGTATATAGTTCACTCTGGACGATTTTAGGATTTCTTCCTTAACAGAGGGCATCAGATCTTTAGTTTGAAAGAAATCTTTCTTGCTTAAGAGGTAGTGAGCTCGCTTGACTGATTTTTATTGTGCTGTTTGTTAGATGTTAAATATAAGTGAAAAGCTGCTTCTCTGTATCTGTTGTGTTGTTTATTAGCTTTCTGTGGCTTTCTCCACTTATGTGTACCAAAAAGAGCTTCTATTAAAATAGAGCTGGTGTCATTTGCACAGTAATCTTGTGAGTGGGTCGAAACTGGTGTTCAGCATGTGGTGGGTGTATGTGTGAGGGAAACCATCATTTATTTTGATCAG